AGGTCTAAATTGGGGTTGTAGCGCCAAAGAGGAAAAAATAGTAAGTTGGTTCTCCAGTAAGTTAATAATTTAACTGGTTTGTTATTTTGTTAGTTAATAGCTGTCGATTTAGTCAGTAGTTAGTTACTTGGTTAAAATTAGTCATTAAATTAATCAGTTAGTGACACACTTCTGATTATGGGAACTTGAACCGCAGACATGTACGCTTACTTCCTGCGCACTTCCGGTTCAAGCAAGCACGTCACAAGACTACACCTGCTCATAGCACACACACTCACCTGTCCTGCCCTCTGAAAGCAGCCTCTAAGTAGGACAAAAGTCTGGCACCTTCCGTGGTATTCACCAGTTCTGACGTCAGGTATTGGAAAGTTCCGGCAGAACTAGAAGAAAGAAATGTGTGGCCCGTAAAACATTTTCCCCGGACCGTTTCTTATTTTGCATGTAATAAGATTAATGTCCAAATGTAACAGTGGTAATTGAACCTGCAAGTATCACAGACCGGGATTCACACTCATAAATTAATAATTACATTTTTGTTAATGGAACTTGCATATCTCTGTTCTCTTTGTAACTAGTCTGTAATGGCGATAAGCGATCTTATGAGTGCGTCCGCGCTAGTTGCATTTAGTACGTACTAATTCTGCCGATAGTGGATCTACCAGCAATAGTATCTCTGTTGCCAACTGTCTTCATATTCGTAAAAAATCTCTTATTTAGTAGAGCTTCTTGAAAGCTGTTTTTTTTTATCAGTGCTGGATATTAAGACTGGATTGTGAATACGTGGAGCGGAGCCACTTTTCTGTTCTTATTATGCAGACTGACATATTGACCCATTGTCAAGTAACAGCTGTGTAAACATAACATTTTCTTGACCTCGGCACTAGTTTGAGGTACGTGGTCAGCTTCACTCTTCTGCCGCTTTACTCCCAGTGAAAGAACCCCCGGTACCCATTGGATAGGAGGTTGGGTGAACCCCATAGCCGATCTGGACGATTGGAGAAGTGAAAAATTCTTGACCCTACAGAGACTCAAACTCCGACCTCTCGATCGTCCAGTAGCCAGTCGCTGTACCGGCTGAACTATCCCGGCCCCTCGTCGTAGATCCGTTTTATTTTATAAATAGAGAAAATATTTCTTTGATACCGAAAGACTAAAGATGTGTGTTCTGGTGTTTTGTCTACAAAGAAAAAAATAAATAAAAATGATTGTGTTACTTTGAATTCTTCATTACGCGTATTGCAGATACTGCTGTATTTCGTGTTTCATTTTCTTCAATTTCATAAAAACAGAAGCGGATTGACTAAAGTGGCAGCCAGTTTCGTTCCCTAGCGGCCAGGTCAAGTAGCGCAATCAGAGTTTTGGTATTTGTATTGCTCGCAGTTCTAATTACTCTCCACGAAACAGTAAACTTACCCCCCTGAACGTACTTACCCTGCAGTAATGACATTCCGTAAAACTACTCTTTTCCTTATTTCTGTCTCTTCTTCTACCCTTCTTCTCTTCCTCCTACGCCTCTAATATACATCAACTTCTATCCTTGTTTCTCCTCTTCTTCTCCAATTTCTTCCTACCGCTCTTTCTTTCTTCTTATTCTTTTTCTCCCTCAATACTTTCGTTTAACTGCTACCCCTTTTCATCCTCTTTTCTCTTGCTCTTCATTAATCTTCTCCTTCCTCATTCACAGAGAAGGCACACGTCTTCGCCCTCTGCAGAGCTGATTCGGACAAAACCAATCTCTCTCTCTCTCACAAGCGCCAAAGATTCTTCGTAGCTTTCTTCAGCAGTGCATTACAAATTTGTCTCTCACTGGAACACCAACCACTTATGCTACACTTATTTATTGATTTATGCTTCATGTAGTTGTGTTGCCAGCAGCTCCAGTTACATTGCCTATAGTGCCAGGGCGAACAGTGAACAAGGGGTTGGGAAACACATGGAATGAAGCAGTTGTGTCACAGTTTCGTAAACTATTCTAGCATTTAAATGGAAGGACTGGCGAAAAACAAGAAATATCTCAACCACTATACAATTATTGATGTTTTGGGGGCATTATCCATCGTCCTGTTTTTTTTAGGAGACAGGGGCTATCATTATTAATTGAGCCCAATTGAGTGGGTTCCACCTGAAGACGGAGACAGAATCCAGTCTCTGAAACATTTTTTAAATAAAGAGAAGAGCGGATAATGTCCAAAAACACAATAAGCATTAATATAACATCGTCACAAACTTTTAAATTTAATCAAGAGAAATAATCTGTGTCCCGGATTTTCTCCGAATACTTCGGTTTCCCCTGCCAATTCTCATTCTACCAGCTACTCCGCATTTATGAATCATCCAATTAGTGGTGATTTATAGACTCAATACTGACAGCATCATTAAGTAACCAACTCAGAAAACGGTGACGGAAGCATAAACACACTGTCATGTGTATCAGTGACTAACAACGGGGTTCGGATTGGTAATTGGATTTATTAACAACGAACAGGACGCAACTACAAATAATTGTTACATTATTGCTGCTTTACACAATACACAGTCTCTCCACACTAATCTTCTCGGTCTAGTTCCACTAGTCTTCACTAGCTGCTTTCTGGCAACGGATTCATAAAATAGGAACTGTAAAAGTCTCATTGAATTACACACTCCCAGTATCTATATACTACACCACATGTAACGTCACACACTAAGTTTTCTAATTCTTATTCTGGCCTAATGCTGTTCCCCTGGAACTTCGGAACTCAAGTCTAGTCAATTCTCATTCCCGTATTCTCTCGTTATGCTCTCGGCACGGGCAACGCACAGAAAACACAGCTCCTCTATCGATGCATGGCGCAGATCACACAGAAAACACGTGTCACGTGTCATACTGCGAGTTCACTGGTCCGTTATCAGCATTGGGCGTGACACGGACAACACAGAAAACAAAGCCTCATCTATAGTTGCGTGTTGGACCTTGTTTACAAAGCTGTTGCCCGGCAACGCGTTGATCAAATCCGTTACAATACATACGTACATATTTTCTGCAGACTGTTTAACGACATTGCTATTTTGTAGATTGAGAATGAGGCCTATCCAAAGTACTGTTCCGAAAATGTTCATGGAGGTACTGGGGTAAACCAAGAAACTCTTAAGTCACTCACTCATTCACCTCAATCTTTAATGCAACTTACAAATATTCACAATCTCTTTTTAGTTTAAAGTAATATTAAAATCACATAAATTTCTACATGTTTCGGCCTTACTTGACAATCTTCAGGAAAATTTTCACTTTTTGAAAGCCGTCTAACTGCACTAGATTTTAAGTCATTCTGTTGTACATCGTTGTTCACACTGAAATACGTTTTTGTTTTAGAATAAAAACTGCCTGTCTGTTCATCGTTATTTTTCTTTTGCGGCGTCCATGTTTGTGCTCACTTCATGTGTATGTTCTCACGAGTTGGGCGCATGTCCCTTCGGGCAGGATAATCGGTATTCGATCCGAGATACGAATCAAACACCTCCCGATTATAATTCTGAAAAGTTACGTCTGGATCAGCCCCCACACTTACGCCTCTGCTGGTCTAGCTCAATATGCTGTAACGATTCATCAGAATTCATTTAGCTCACTCACGCTTCCTTCCACACATTTTTCAATTCTCAATTTGTAACGATACTGTCACGTGACTCTATTTAACTTCCGTGTCGGTAAAATAAACCAGAAGGTCAGAATATGATTTTCCATTGATCTGAATTCTATCCGAGCTAACAAGGTCTGTTGACGGAAGGGGCAGCGCGCGTGTGTGTGTTTAAAAAATGACACGAACCAAGCCCAAACAGTGGGCAGTGCAGAACACTGTTTACTGTGAAAATAAACTCCAGTGACAATACATATCACGCTGAGTGGTGACTGTAGCAGTTGAATTAATATTTTAGTTGCATCTGATTCAACACCACAGCGAGTTATAAATATATGTGTGTAGAGACTATAACTTAAAGATGGGCACAAATTTTGGGCACGAGTTCCATATGCCTAAACAAGGAAAGATATTCATATAAAAGTGTGTCAGGAAACGTTTATTTCGTGAGTTACAGCTACAAGAATACTGTGTAGACACGAGCAGCAGTTCGTATTAATGTGTGGCAGGGAATATTGGTGACTGGAAGGCCCGCATGTTTCGTCACATCGACTTACAGGGAACCACTTACATGATCTGGCGAAGCTACTGGAAGGTGTACCACTGGCAGCAGGGCACTAGTGTGGTACATGCATGATAGTGCTCCGTGCTGTGCGAGATGTTCTCACTATCATGACCGTTGGGTAGGTACAGGGAAACCCACTGCGTGACCTCCACTATGCTACAGATCGCTGGTTCGATTCCTAACGAGATCATTGGATTTTTCAATTGACCTAATCCTTCCAGCCGCACTATGCCTCTGGGATCGACTCAGCCTCTAACAGATATGAGTACCAGGAATCTTCCTGGAGGTAAAGGGCAGCCGGAGGGTAAGGCTGACAACCTCACCGCCATCTATGAGTTAATTTTCTAGAAATTGTGGGAGCCTCGACGTCTCACGACCCTATGGGCCTCCAAGGCCTCTTACAGGGATAGCTTTACCTTGTTGTTGTTGTTGTTGTTGTTATTATTGGAGAGGGTGGGTTTCCCCATGCACTTAGACCAGATATTGGTCCATTGTGCGTCCCCCTGTGCTATTCTACCAGTCTCTATACCCTACCGGTACTGGTCCTGACTCAACCAGCGAGTTCGGCCTCTACTGCCTCAGAGGTATCTCGATGCTTCCCCCATCTACCGGAGGCTTTAGAGACTACTGTTGAGCGGGAAATGTCCTGAATTTGGCTCAGAGGTCCCACTGAGACGTGAGGTTCTTTTACGTGTCGTAAAGCTACGACACGGAACCCACGGCTTAAAGTCCCTCCGGGAGCACTTGTTCCCTGAATTTTTCCGCCCTTAAAAATTCCACGACATCCGCCGGGTTTGAACCCGCGTACCTTGAGTCACGAGGTGGGAACGTTACCCCTAGACTACGGAGGCCGCTTATAGCTTTACCTTACTCCTCATCCTGCATTCACAATCCAATCATAATATCTAATACCGAAACAATACGAAACAGATGTTTCAAGAAGCTGTTCAAAATATTTTTTCGTGAACGAAAGAGAGATAGTAGATACCGACAGAATTAGTACTACATGCAACCAGTGCATGCAGCGCTCTGTCGGAGCACTGCGTTACCCCAATCTCACACACCACCATTACAATACGTGCCATCACCGTGTGGAATGACATACTTAACGTCGCCAGTCCTTATTACCTGACGGCGTCCTCTAGGACGCTGCTGAGGGGGTAAAAGCGTCCGGGCTCCCTCATTACTTCACACAGCATCCTCTGGCGACAGTCCTCGGACATGACGCGCAGAAACTCGAAGTAGAAGTCAAGTTTCTGCAGACGCTGCCGCACCTGCAACACGGCAACCGTAAGCAAGACGTTCCGGGCTAGGCGGGAGGAGGCACGAGGACAACTGTTGCAAGAATTAGGGGGGCAGTGGTTGCAGCTGCATTGTGCGTAGCATAGAAACGTGAAGCAACTAAGATTTTACTTACAACTTGTAACTTTTGTGTACTCTAACATAAAAATTAGAATATACAAAACTATAATTTTCCTGTAGTTCTGTATGGGCGTGAAACTTGGTCTCTGACATTAAGAGGGGAACTGAGGGTGTTTGAGAACAGGACGCTGAGGAGAATATTTGGACCGAAGAGAGATGAAGTGACAGGAGGTTGGAGGAAACTGCATAATGAGGAACTTCATAATTTGTACTCTTTGACAAGTATAATTACATAATAAATAATCACATCAAGGAGGATGAGGTGGGCAGGGCATTTAGCACGAATGGGGAGAAGAAGAATGCGTATAGGATATTGGTGGGAAAGCCAAAAGGAACAAGACCACTGGGAAGACCGTGGCGTAGGTGGGAGGAAAATATTAAAATGGGTCTTAGAGAGATAGGATGGAATGGTATGGATTGGATTCACCTGGCTCAGGATAGGAACTAGTGGAAGGCTCTTGTAAACACGGTAATGAACCTTCGAGTTCCATAAAATGCTAGGAAATTCTTCATTAGCTGCAGAATTGGCGGCTATATATGCGTGTAAATCAGGCTGTTACTGTCCCTGTATTAAAATCCGTTGTCAGGAAACGGCTAGTGGAGACTGTACTAGACTGAGGACACTAGTCTGTGTGTCTGTACAGTGTAGTCACGAGCCATGAGTGTGTAAGTGGTCAGTAAATCGAGTCACCTATCCAAACCCCGTCTATAGTCACTCCTACACGTGACAGTATGAAAGCAGATAATTTTCCGTTATATTCTTAATTTTACTTTCCACCATCTACATTAATTTTCACGGTCGTCTGGCTTCAATCCCAGTTTAGGTCATGTGGGATCTGTGATGGAAAAGTGGCACTGGTGCAGGTTTTCTCCGATTACTTCGTTTTCCCCTGCCAATTCTCATTAATCAAACTTCTATACTCCCAATATACATCCTCTCTTCGACCTTATATAGTTTCGATAATGAGAACATCGTTAAATAAACATCTACAGCATGTTAATTCCGACTTCAGAGAACTTCGTGTTAATTTTTCTATCTATATTACCGCCACCACAGTGGTTTTCGTCTCGTTTCGTAGGATTTTTATTTTATTATTCCCTTCTGCAAATTTCTCGCAGATAGAATTCCCATCACACGAAATATATCTCCTCATAATATTATATAGTCCTGTGCATACTACAAACCTGTAAGGCCTACCTCCCGAGAAAATTTATTCAGTTCTGGTGTTTAATTTATGTAGGCCTATACACAAAAAATAGTCGGGATAGCGACTGGCTACGGGCTGGACGGTCGAGGGGTCGGAGTTCGAGTCCCGGTAGTGTCAAGAATTTTCTCTTATCTACGTCGTCCAGACCGGTTCTGGGGTTCACCCAGCCTCCTACACAATTTGAATTGGGGCTCTTTCCTTGGGGTAAAGTCAAGAAAATGTGGATCTCTACATCCACTCTTTCTTATGCCTTCATGGTGTAGTGCTTAATTAGTTAATTAGTTAAGCACAGGGACAATTTTACTTACTTATACACAAACAAATTGGCGGATTCCGGACTAAGAAACCCGCATTTAATGGGATCATGGCTCTATTGGCACATAAAACCAGTTTTTTAGCTTACGGGTTAGTGTTCGAGTACAACTTTTTGTGACATCATTACGTAATTTTGTGTTCAGTGAAGGAAGAGGTCACTGACTCTGATGGCTGTTAACATCGGCCTGTGGTCCCACAGACTTCATCTAACAAAGGGCCTCAGTCTTACCAACTGCCGAACTAACTCCATGGAGGTAAGTCATTCTTGAGAAGCCGCTACTCAAGGAACCCCATAGTTCTTTGCCGTGTTCACAAGACCCCGTCACTGAGCCCTATCCTGAGCCAGTTGAATTCAGTCCATGCCATCACATCCTGTAAATCTGTGATATATATTAATATTGTGACGGAATAATCCATTGTTAAGTAACGGTTCGGTAGCGGCCTCCGTAGTTCCCACCTCATGACTCAAGGTATGCGGGTTCAAACCCGGCGGAGGTCGTGGAATTTTTAAGGGCGGAAAAATTCAAGGAACAAGTCCTCCGGGAGGGACTTTAAGCCGTGTGTCCCGTGTCGTAGATTTACGGCACGTAAAAGATTCTCATGTCTCCAGGAGACCTCTGAGCAAAATTAGGCAAAGTTTCCCGCCCAAGTAGTTTCCCAATCCTCCGGTAGATGGTGAAGCATCGGGGACCACTGACAGAAAGGTGGCCGACCTCGCTGGCAGAACGGGGCTGATAGCGAGCACCAGTACTGGAAGAGCATGGCGACTAGTAGAATAATTAAAGGGGTCGCAGTGCATGCGGAAACCCACCCCCTCAAAAATAATAATAAAATAATAACGGTTCGGTAAACAGCGCTTGAAAGCCGGAATAGTGGAGCCAGGGCGCAGGTCCATTGCTGAGCAATGACTCAGTAGTCACGTTCATGCTGCAACGAACAGCTAGGTAGCAAGTCGCTAAACACAGTTTCCGCTGCAACAGACAGAGTTATCCATGTTCGGAGTCGTAGATAGTCATTAATTGGGAACTGTCATAATTGATTGTAATTGTAAGTAAGTGTCATCAAATTCAGAACCCATTAATATTAGTCACGCAAACCCCCATACGTGACAATATTTTCCTTCCATTTATGTCTTAGTCTACCTACTAATAATCTGTATGCATTTCTCTTCTTTCCCATGCATGATATATTCTCTGGGTGTCATCTCCCTTGACTCTATCATTCGTAAATATATTTGTCGAAGATCAGAACTTTTTTTTATTGCTAGTGCGGTGGGAGTAAGTCCCTTGTACTGCGGCCACTTCTGGCCCATTGTACCAGCCCCAGATGATAGGTGAGGGTGATTGTGGAGCAACTGGTGGAATGAAGATTGGCAGGGGACACCGAAGTACTCGGAAAAATCCTGCCCTAGCGCCACTTTGTCCACCACAAATTCCACCTGACCAGACCCGGGATCGAACCCGACTAACGGCTTGAACTATGGCGCGACCAAGATCGGAAGTTACGAAGTCCCTTGTTGGACTAATTGTGATGTGTTTCGGGATGTAAACCACGTGTTTGGAGATGAAATGCACTATGATAGACTTTCATATTCAGTGTCTGTCCGTATGATCTCATTTCGCGTTCCTGTGTACTGTTAATAATACTTATAAAGTAGTGTCTGAAATTCAGGCTCCGCCATACCTTCCCGCATGACACGTACAAAACTGGATACGAAGTTATGTTAATATCAACGAAGTATACTTTTTTTTATGTCAGTCCGCCGTGAAACACTACGCTACTGAACCCAATAAGTTAATCTCATGTGGGCAATGCAACTTTTAATCATGACTGGAATATATTTTCTCACAATTAAATACAGATGAAAAATATTCTTTGAACAAAATACAGCCAGAAGCCATATACTAACTTCAATGAAACCAATGCATAAAAAGTATAATCAAAATCTTAAAGTTTATTTATATGATTAAAGCATGGAGTTTGTGTAATATAGCTTCTCCACACAGGGATAAACCTGGATATTTAAGTTAGCATAGTGACTAGGATACGGGCTGGACGATAACAGTATCAGAGTTTGTTTCCAGGTCAGGGAAGAGAGTTTTCTCTTGCCCACAGAGTCCAAACCAGATCTGACACCCACCCAGCCTCCTATTCATGGGTAAAACTAAAGATGTAAGATTTGAGGCTTTCACGGGGGTGACTATGAAGAAGGCAGTCTTCTGGGATTTGGCACCGTGTATATGTGGTGTTAACCGACGTTTCGGAGGAACGTATCGCTTCCATTTTCAGGGTAGAAGAAAAAATTTATAAGAAATCTGCAAGCGAAGAGACCGTGAGAACCGGTAAAAACAGACTGCTTTCTTCAAAACTAAAGTTGTTCCTGTAACATGCCGTGGAGGTCCATAGGGGTGTGAGACGTCGAGGCTCCCACACTTTCCAGACAATTGACTCAGAGATGGCGGTGAGGTTATCAGCCTTAAGCCTTTACCCCCAGGAAGATTCCTTGTACTCATTTCTATTAGAAGCTGAGTCGACCCCAGGCCATAGTGCGGCTGGAAGGATTAGGTCGATTGAAATATCTAATGATCTCATCGGGAATCGAACCCGCGATCTGTCAGCTTGTAGCACAGTGCCTCAACCAACAACGCCACCGCGTGTCCCCCTTAACCTAACCTAACCTAACCTAACCTAACTTACCCTAGCCTACTCTCGCCTCGCCTAGACTCGTCTGGCCTCGCCTACCTACAAGTCACGCAATGGCACGAAATGTCACTTCAAGTGACGACGAGTCACGCCAAGCCACGTCACGTCACGTCATCTCACCTCACCTAACCGAACTTAACAGCAGGGAATAATTGATGTGGACAAGTCTACTGGGCAAACCTAACCTAATCTAACCTAACCTAACTTAACCTAACCTAACCCAACCTAACCTAACCTAATCTAAGCTAACCTAAACTAGCCTCGCAACGCCTCGCCTCGCAACGCCTCGCCTCGCCTAGACCCGTCTAGCCTCGCCTCCCTTCAAGTCACGCAAGTTATGTCAAGTCATGTCAAGTCACGTCGAATCACGCTAAGTCACGTCATGTCACGTCAATTCACGACAGTAACGCCAAGTCACGTCAAGTCACGTCAAGTAACGTCAAGTCACGCAAAGTCACGCCAAGTAACGTCACGTCACCTCACCCAACCTCACCTCACGTAACCTAACTTAACAGCAGGGAATGGAACCCCTCAGTTACTGATTGATGCCGACAAGTCTACTGCGCAAACCTAACCTAAGCTAACATAACCTAAAGTAACCTAACGTAATCTAACCTAACTTAACCTCTCCTAACCTCACCTAACTTACCCTAGCCTACCCTCGCCTCCCCTAGACCCGTCCGGCCTTGCCTACCTACAAGTCACGCAATGTCACGTCATGTCACTTCAAGTGACGACGAGTCACGCCAAGCCAGGTCACGTCACGACATCTCACCCAAATTAATTTCACCTAACCGAACTTAACAGCAGGGAATGATTGATGTGGACAAGTCTACTGCGCAAACCAAACCTAACCTAACATAACCGAGCCTAACCTAACCTAACCTAACCTAACCTAAAATAACCTAATCTAACCTAACCTAGCAACGCATCGCCTCGCCTCGCCTAGACCCGTCTAGCCTCGCCTCCCGTCAAGACACGCCAAGTTACGCCAAGTCACGTCAAGTCGCGTCGAATCACGCTAAGTCATGTCTTGTCAAGTCAATTCACGACAGTAACGCCAAGTCACGCCAAGTCACGCGTAGTCACGCCAAGCCAGGTCTCGTCACGACATCTCACCCAAATTCATTTCCCCTAACCGAACTTAAAAGCAGGGACAAGTTTACGGCGCAAACCTAACCTAAGTTAACCTAACCTAAACTAGCCTCGCAACGCCTCGCTACGCCTAGACCCGTCTGGCCTCGCCTACTATCAAGTCACGCAATGGCGCGTCATGTCACTTTAAGTGACGACGAGTCACGCCAAGTCACGCGTAGTCACGCCAAGCCAGGTCTCGTCACGACATCTCACCCAAATTCATTTCCCCTAACCGAACTTAAAAGCAGGGACAAGTTTACGGCGCAAACCTAACCTAAGTTAACCTAACCTAAACTAGCCTCGCAACGCCTCGCTACGCCTAGACCCGTCTGGCCTCGCCTACTATCAAGTCACGCAATGGCGCGTCATGTCACTTTAAGTGACGACGAGTCACGCCAAGTCACGCGTAGTCACGCCAAGCCAGGTCTCGTCACGACATCTCACCCAAATTCATTTCCCCTAACCGAACTTAAAAGCAGGGACAAGTTTACGGCGCAAACCTAACCTAAGTTAACCTAACCTAAACTAGCCTCGCAACGCCTCGCTACGCCTAGACCCGTCTGGCCTCGCCTACTATCAAGTCACGCAATGGCGCGTCATGTCACTTTAAGTGACGACGAGTCACGCCAAGTCACGCGTAGTCACGCCAAGCCAGGTCTCGTCACGACATCTCACCCAAATTCATTTCCCCTAACCGAACTTAAAAGCAGGGACAAGTTTACGGCGCAAACCTAACCTAAGTTAACCTAACCTAAACTAGCCTCGCAACGCCTCGCTACGCCTAGACCCGTCTGGCCTCGCCTACTATCAAGTCACGCAATGGCGCGTCATGTCACTTTAAGTGACGACGAGTCACGCCAAGTCACGCGTAGTCACGCCAAGCCAGGTCTCGTCACGACATCTCACCCAAATTCATTTCCCCTAACCGAACTTAAAAGCAGGGACAAGTTTACGGCGCAAACCTAACCTAAGTTAACCTAACCTAAACTAGCCTCGCAACGCCTCGCTACGCCTAGACCCGTCTGGCCTCGCCTACTATCAAGTCACGCAATGGCGCGTCATGTCACTTTAAGTGACGACGAGTCACGCCAAGTCACGCGTAGTCACGCCAAGCCAGGTCTCGTCACGACATCTCACCCAAATTCATTTCCCCTAACCGAACTTAAAAGCAGGGACAAGTTTACGGCGCAAACCTAACCTAAGTTAACCTAACCTAAACTAGCCTCGCAACGCCTCGCTACGCCTAGACCCGTCTGGCCTCGCCTACTATCAAGTCACGCAATGGCGCGTCATGTCACTTTAAGTGACGACGAGTCACGCCAAGTCACGCGTAGTCACGCCAAGCCAGGTCTCGTCACGACATCTCACCCAAATTCATTTCCCCTAACCGAACTTAAAAGCAGGGACAAGTTTACGGCGCAAACCTAACCTAAGTTAACCTAACCTAAACTAGCCTCGCAACGCCTCGCTACGCCTAGACCCGTCTGGCCTCGCCTACTATCAAGTCACGCAATGGCGCGTCATGTCACTTTAAGTGACGACGAGTCACGCCAAGTCACGCGTAGTCACGCCAAGCCAGGTCTCGTCACGACATCTCACCCAAATTCATTTCCCCTAACCGAACTTAAAAGCAGGGACAAGTTTACGGCGCAAACCTAACCTAAGTTAACCTAACCTAAACTAGCCTCGCAACGCCTCGCTACGCCTAGACCCGTCTGGCCTCGCCTACTATCAAGTCACGCAATGGCGCGTCATGTCACTTTAAGTGACGACGAGTCACGCCAAGTCACGCGTAGTCACGCCAAGCCAGGTCTCGTCACGACATCTCACCCAAATTCATTTCCCCTAACCGAACTTAAAAGCAGGGACAAGTTTACGGCGCAAACCTAACCTAAGTTAACCTAACCTAAACTAGCCTCGCAACGCCTCGCTACGCCTAGACCCGTCTGGCCTCGCCTACTATCAAGTCACGCAATGGCGCGTCATGTCACTTTAAGTGACGACGAGTCACGCCAAGTCACGCGTAGTCACGCCAAGCCAGGTCTCGTCACGACATCTCACCCAAATTCATTTCCCCTAACCGAACTTAAAAGCAGGGACAAGTTTACGGCGCAAACCTAACCTAAGTTAACCTAACCTAAACTAGCCTCGCAACGCCTCGCTACGCCTAGACCCGTCTGGCCTCGCCTACTATCAAGTCACGCAATGGCGCGTCATGTCACTTTAAGTGACGACGAGTCACGCCAAGTCACGCGTAGTCACGCCAAGCCAGGTCTCGTCACGACATCTCACCCAAATTCATTTCCCCTAACCGAACTTAAAAGCAGGGACAAGTTTACGGCGCAAACCTAACCTAAGTTAACCTAACCTAAACTAGCCTCGCAACGCCTCGCTACGCCTAGACCCGTCTGGCCTCGCCTACTATCAAGTCACGCAATGGCGCGTCATGTCACTTTAAGTGACGACGAGTCACGCCAAGTCACGCCAAGTTACGCCAAGTCACGTCAAGTCGCGTCGAATCACGCTAAGTCACGTCACCTCACCCAGCCTCACCTCACCTAACATAACTTAACAGCATGGAATGGAACACTTCAATTACTTATTGATGCCGACAAGTCTACTGCGCTAACCTAACCTAAGCTAACCTAACCTAATTTAACCTAACCTAACTTAATCATGGATTCCTGAAGCTATTTATCTGGGGATAAAGCGACTGAGATCCTGACACCACCCATATCCAACTCTTGCCCAAGTTAAAAATGCGTGGAGCTAAACCTCTTCTCCGTCACACAATTTCATGGGGTGGTGCTTAATCAAGCAGGAGCGGTTAGTCGCTGGCTTCCCACCGCGGCGGCCAGGGTTCGATCCCGGGTCTGGCCAAGTGGGATTTGTGGTGGACAGTGTGGTTCTGGGGAAAGTTTTCCCCGAGTACTTCGGTTTCCCCTGCCAATCTTCATTCCACCAATTGCCCCACAATCACCCTCACCTATCTTCTGGGGCTGGTACGATAGGCAAGAAGTGGCCGCAGTACAAAGGACTTAGTCCCACCCCACTAGCATTAAGAAAATTAATCAAGCAGGAGGACAACTGTAATAGTGGAAGTCACACACATAGATGAAGGTATTAAAAATTCCTGTTACAGTTTGTATGTTCTTAAGAATTACAAAAAAGATTATAAAAGTATACAGTGCAAATGTTGTATTTGAGGATTTCGGAGGAACATACTGGGCCCATGTTCAGGGACGAAGACGCAGACTCTCTCGGCGTGCCGCTGACTTTACTGCTAGATTTACTCTTAGATTCTGAACATGAAGACAATACATTCCTCCGAAACGTCAACAAATTTCCCAGTAGACTGCACTCTAAGTACATTTTGTGTCTCAAGGTCTCTGAAGACCTCCTCTATACTTCGGCCACCAGAGTTACTCCAGGTTTAGTATGTGACTTCGAAGGCAAATGTGGAAAATCAGCCTTCCCCTGCTTCTCTGCCACACACTGCGCAAAACGGAGTCATGTCTAAAAGCAGACTGACTATAGCCCTATCCCTACAGTGCGCGTAACGGAGTCATACCTAAAACAGACGGACTACAGCCTTATCCCTACAGCGCGCGTAACGGAGTCATATCAAAAACAGAGACACTATATAGCCTTATCCCTACAGTGCGCTTAACGGAGTCATATCTAAAACAGACAGACTATAGCATTATCCCTACAGTGCGCATAAGGGAGTCATATCTAAAATAGACAGACTATAGACTTATCACTGCTGTGCGCATAACGGAGTCACATCTAAAATAGAAAGACTATACCTGCATTAGTTCTGCATCTACTTCGTCACCAGGGCGGCCCACATCTTCGCCGACTTCAGTTACTTCTTGCAGCTCAACTCCGGCGCTGTTTGTCTCGTCAGAGACCAAGTTTTCCACAGTTGGAAAAGTATCTGGAAGGCTGGTGACACCAGAGGAGAGCAGATCATGAGCATCGCCGAGAACCTGCAGCCCCCCTTGGGTCATTTCTGTCTCTTTCTTAATCCATTCCAGCTGCAGTTTCTTCTGCTCTTGCTCGTCACTTCCGTTTGCTAGCAAATCGAAGTTAAGTCCAGGGGCTGTGGTCCCAATAGGCACTGTCCGAACTGCACTTGTTAGGATCAGCATAACATTAATTCGTAATAACTGGCGAATTGGAGAGCGAATATTTATTTTCATAATTATAAAGATGTTGGATTTTTGCGTCCAGGTCACGCCATACTACTTCATATAAAACAATAAGTTAAATGAAAATCACAATTAATAAGTATATACGACATTCAGAACATATACATATGGCAATAAAATTAAAAATATATACATCCCTTCGTATCACGGATATATTGAAGGGGTTCTAAATAATTTTCTCAATAAGTTACACAAATCTACGTTTGCTACCTCCATGGGATATTTACTCAGACTGTAGATGTCTGGGTTTTGGCACCAAATAATCTTCTAGGCGGTTACGTGCGTTTCGAGGAAATGCTGCACCCAGATTCAGGACAGAAGTGAGTAGGGTGAGGAAGAACAACGTTGTTGCCCTGAAGAAGACTGTATTGCAGTTCACTGTTCCATGATCGGGCTCCACTCCCCTGCCCCTTCCACTGGTCTGAGTGACTACCTCCCGAGGTCTGAGTGACCATCTACCTTGGGTATGAGTGACCACAACCCGTAGGCCCGACTGACAACCTTTCAAGGGTAGGAGTGAAGAGCTCTCTTGAATTTGAGTGGCCACCTCCTTTGGGCATGAATGATCATCTCCCATGGGTCTGAGTGACTACCTTTCTGCAACCTACTGTATATAACAGGTCCAATTTCTGACATTGCACACTTCAAACATGAAGATAGTTGCAGCAAATTCCATCGAAACACATTCATCCGCATACAATACTACACGGTATCACAATACAGAACACCAAAATACAACTCTTTCACTTCGCAGACATCGTAGCGACTGGCAATCACAGAGACGAATTAGTCACAAATTCCTGAGTCATAGAGAACGAAAAAAAAATGAGGGGAGACGCAGACAGATAGACGGACCGACGGACAGACAGCCAGTTGATTTCGTAAGTCTTCTTTTCTTTCTTCTAAATAAGGAAAGTGGCTAAAATTGGTTACATTTGAGCTCATAAATTTCTGTCAGACTGTTTTTCTTACAAATAATGTTACATGTTCATTCAATTTCACTAATTAGATTTTTTTTTGGAAAATTTTAATTATAAATTGTATAGTCAAGGTGTTACTAATCAAGAATAAATTATGTTCATATTAATCCAAATACGATTTACGTGCAATATTCACTTAATATATTAATACAATCAATTTGTTATCCGGCAAACAAGACACACAAAGCCGCTTTAAAAGTATCAAATACACATTTAGTAGGCCTATAGCAGAACACAACTTATGTTAGCGGAAGTTCACTCCATTTTGATAAATTTTATGTCGTTTTCTTGATGCGAGAGTCTTCCTCTAAGCAGAGCAGCACTCGAACTGACTCGTACTTCCTGTAACGAGATGTCTGTGCGTATGCCTACGTAAAATTTGACCAGGAGCCAGTACGGCCTCAGTGACAAATGAACAGGCTAAAGGAAGTGACGTGCCGACAATGGAGACCCATATCCTTGAGTGATGGACATATCCTGCATTCAATTAAGCGTCACCACTGACATGAACGTACAGTATCCTCCCTCGTATCAATTTCTTTCATTACTTAGTGACTACGAAATGCGTCACTGCAGAATCACTTCAGTACACTCCATGACCAGAAGTTCTGGAGGGAGTCATGTGACCCTCACACCGTTCCGAGAGCCGACACCCTGTAATCTGATACAAGTTCGGCGGCATTTTAGCAGGAAATACTGCCTCAATGTTCAGGGTCGAAGACTAAACCAAGCATGAAACAATCGAACATTGCTGTTTTGCTTGACTTATTCTGCGAAATTTTGTTTGTACATTCATCCGAAACGTCGGTAAACGTCTACAGACTACATGGCGTCAGATCAGAGAAGACAGTAGGCTTACTCTTCCTTGTAACACTGTTCGATTTGGCGTTGACGTGCCGCAAAAATGGATAAATCTTCTCTTGTGTTGTGAAGTAAAAATTCGCCATTGAGATCCACATATCAGAGTTCTCACACACACATAACGAACTAACTAAACTAAACTCCGTCGTTTTTAGTCCTCAAGCGAACTATACTGACCAAGGGACCGCCGCTTGTCGGCGAAGTTAGTGCCAACATTAGCAGATAGAACGTGTCACATAGTTAGCGCAACGGATCCCCACGGCCGGTAATCTCGGTTTTCTAGACCGGAGCCTTTACTTTTCAATTCAAATAGCTCCTCAATTATCCTCACGAGGCTGAGTGGACCCCATTGCAGATCCTATACTTCTCAGAAAATCTGGTAGCGCCGGGAATCGAACCCGGACTTTTGGATCTGTAGCCAGGAGCTCTGACCACTAGACTACAGAGGCGGTCATATCGAGCTAACAGGCCAACAAAATAACGGATTAACTAATTGCTACAGCTATGGCGGAAGGATCCTTAAAACTACACTACATTGACGTTCGTGTAGCCTACACACAGTGTGTGGTCTCAGAGGTATCATCTTTGCAAGTTACACTTCCCTTATCTTTCGGACCGCACAGGAAACCTGTCCCGAGTGAAGCCCCTGCTCCAGAGACCTCATGTAACCATTTCTATCCTCCTACACGCTAACTCTTCGTAATTAAACTTTATTATGAAGGCTCAGTTAAGCTAAACTTTGCCCCCCACGAGTATTTGCGCGTCTACATTTCCGCGTCTCGATATCTCCAGCTTTGCTACCACAAACATAATCTAACCTCAGTTACTTTAACATTAAATGGCGCCTAGTTTTCTCTCTTTAAAGCTTAGTGGTTACTTATATGTACCACTTGCTTTAACACAAAAATTAACACGTACAAAAACACAGCAATATTATTTGCATGCTACTACTAGTCATAAACACAAATGAGGTGGTATTGCCAAATACAAAAAGCTATCCCTGTAACGGGCCGTGAAGGCCATAGGGGTCTGAGACGTCGAGGCTCCCATATCTTCTAGACAGTCGGCTCACAGATGGCGGTGAAGTCAGCCTTACGCGCCGGCTGCCCTTTACTCCTGGTACTCATTTCTGCTAGTAGCTTAGTCTACCCCAGGGCCATAATGCGGCTGGATTAGGTCAAATGAAAAATTCAATCACCTTATTGGGAATCGACCCCGCGACCTTCCGGCTTGTAGTATAGTACCTCAACTAACTGCGCTACCGCGTGCCCACCTTGCAAATACAAAAGTGTAGGAGATTAGGTCTACCACAGGAGTAAAATATTAATATATCCTAAGATGTTAATGGACAGAAAACACTTAAATTAATATATATTAGGGACAGGTTAGGTTACAGGACTGATATTCCAGGTTTACTTAACCTGATGAGCCCCTGTTCGGCGCATTTCTGGTATCAAGACTGGACAGCCTATGTAAGGAATAAAACAAATAAGCCTGATTCAGAACTTATGAATATGTTGTTTCCAAGCCCCTTTCAGAAGTCAAGTCACTCTTCTGTTAAAATAAATTGTCACGCCGTAAAATGTGACTATAGACGGGGTTTGAAATGGTGATCGGATTAATTGGACACTTTAACACATAACTCATGATTACAAATCACAAATCACTACTATCACACACAGACTACTATTCACAGTCACGGTCTACCCTGCCCTGGTGGGTAACGTCTTCCAACAGTGGAAGTCCCTCTGCTCCCGGGATCACATCCTTGCAGGCTGGCGACCATCTCACACCACCCATCCTCCGAATATCCTTAAGTCCCGTCTCCGGAATATTTCGTTTGTCAAAATCAAAGTTATGTTACGACCGACGGTCAGTCGGCCAGTCTGTCTTGATTTCAAGCCCACATTCTTATTACTGTCAGACAGTCGTGGGGTTTGTTGATAGGTGCGCCGTCTCTGACGAGAAGCCGGGTCTATCGTTTATATCTCGTAATAAAAAGAAACCTGCGCGAAGGAGGGGAAGTGAAGGGGAAGAGAGAGAGAGAGAGAAAGAGAAAGAAAGAAAGAAAGAAAGAGCATCGATTTAAGAAGGTTCCCAGGCTTTGCCCGCTCGCCCTTCTGGTAAGAGTAAAGTGAAAGTGTAGGCCTTAAGATGATTAGAAGCAACGACTTTAGAGAGTTGAGAGAGAGGGGCCGCGGAGCTTTAAATTTAAAAAATTAGAGTTTACGTGTATAATTTTGGTAATTTTGACAGCAAGGGACCGTAATTTTGATGAATTTAAATCGGGAAGGCTGCATGAGAAGCATGCAGTAGCAACTTGGAATTTGGGAACCATCTCAGCATTTGCTTACAAGACAGAGGAAAACCAAGAAAACCTGTGTCGAGATGGCCGGTCGCAGGACCTCTCGGATACGCACTGACTTCTAGCCAGCGGTCCGGCAAACAAAACAGACGGGCGATTCCCTAACGTTTCCCTAGCATGTGTGCTTAATGCTTTATTGATAAAGTTTACAGTGCGTACATGTCATCAATCACCAATCACAATACACTGGCAGTTGATCTTGTTTATATAACCTCGGCACGGACTGCACAGAAAACATCTCTTACATTATTGCATGCCTGTCTGTTGCGATGATTACATGACGCCTACTGAGCCATCGTCTAGCAACGGTCAGGTTTGCAGAGCCGTTCCTTAACAACGGCTGTTTATCTGGTTCCTCAATTCCTGCTTTGAACAAATATGCCACAATACTTTTCCTATAAGAAATAATGTAACAAGCAATAACTGTGTACAGGAACTTGCGAACAAAGACTATTTAACTTATACTCTAAGTAGTTTATCTTATATATTAATGTATTAAATAGCATAGAAATTATATATCCACAGAAGAATAAATAGAGAAATTTAAATAAATTAGAATAAATACGAAGAGCTCTTATGCCGAATCCTATATTCTTGGATATAATTTCGTTTAATCTGTTGAAATTCAACAGACGTTTCGGAGGAATGTGTCTCTTTCATCTTTACGGCGCTGCTAGCTACCTGCGTCATGCTGGTCTCTTGCTTGGTTTATACTTGGAACCGTGAAAATGGAGACAACATATTCCTCCGAAACGTCAGTTGATTTTCAACGGAGTAAACAACGTTATATTCTATACGACGCACACTTAATAACCACTGCTGTAAGA